CGGAATGTGGCGCTACCTTCTTTTGTCTCGTCTCTCACATTTTGGTTTACGGTTGTTGAATTTTCGCAGGTAAACAGACACATACACAAAAAACATATTTGAAACAAACCGAAAAACATTCAGTGCATTGTGCACTGTGGATGGCGACAGAACAGAGAGAGAGAGAGAGAGAGAGCAGAGTAAGACCAAAGTGGACATAAAACACAGTAAATCGTTTTTTTGGGGAGTTTTGTTTGGATTATCGCCTAACCGATTCTTAGCGACGTTTTACGACTTTTGTTCTTTATTCGTTTGTTTTTAGCATCGGCCGCTTGAACAGTACATAACTTATGGCAGTGAAAGTGTCAGAAATTTGTTGATAATTAAGACTTTTCGGGTTTTGCTTATTTTCTCTTTTATTGTTTTTTTTTTTTGTTATCAGTGGCGATGACTCAACAATGTGGAACTGTGCAAAGATATACTTCCTCCAGAATTCGGATGCACACTTGAAATCACTCGACACTGTTGGAACGAATCAACATTGAATAAAAAATATCACATCATTTCGGAAAGTGAATGGAAATCATTAGAATATAGAAAGTCCTTCAAGTTAGAGATCTGAAGAACACCTAGGAAACGAACGATGAATTAATATGAATCATCATTACGTAATGTCGTCATGATTTTATGCAGTTAATTGCTAAAAATATGATTCATGATGCAGTTAAAGAATAAAAAAGTCTGCTTTGCTTTAATTTTCCTCGCTGCTTCGCTTTGCTCTGCTTCCCTTGATTTTTTTTTCTGTCTGTTCTTTAATGAGGAAATGTTAAATAGCTCACACTGTCAAGTGTTTCGATTCATGCCATTTTTATTCGCTTTTTTTGTGTTCTGCCAGTACCGCTGGTCGGTTGAAATTGAAAGAAATTCGATCACTTTTCCTTTTTCATCCGAAAAAATTCGCTGAAAAATAATAAGTTTTTTCTTCCTTCTCTTCGATCAGAGCCATAAGGTAGCGTTGGACAACTGTTATTCTCGTGTACGTTCGCTTTCAATCGTTCATTGGCTTGTGATGCGCTTCTCTTCTCTTGTTTTTTTTTCGGGCCAAAACGAAATCCACGCAAACTCCAAAGAGCATACACTCACAAACACACTAATTTCGTTGGCATTTGATGATCGATGAAAAGTCTTATTGTTAGCGTGAATAAATTGGATTATTTATTGAACGGAACACGTGCCAAAATTTGACCACAGATTGATGCCATAGTGCCTTTGGGTTGATTATTGATGTTTTAAAATTAGAAAATTTCACCATCGTCTCTTTCTCTTTCTCTCGCGCTGGATTCGATTTGGACAAATGGTCGGCGTGTGTTGTTGTTGCTGGTGGTGTTGATCCAGAAATTGAACTGTTGGTTTGAGTTTTTGTGCTGATCGTGTTCGTTCTGTTGTTGTTGGTGTTTCATTTCTTTGGTTTCCGCACGAAACTCGAGCAACAGATGGGCCGCTTTTTCTCAACATAGACAACAACTAAAACCGAATTTCCGAAACAAAATACAAAAGAGGAACACAGCCACATCTAAAAAAAGTATAACAATGCTGTGGAAAAAATGCAATTTGGTCAATAATTTTTTTTGTTCCATAATTCGAGGCTCCTTTAATTAATATTGGAAATCATTTTCTTTCTGCGCTCGGTGCGAAATGCAAAAACAAGGAAAAATGGGCGCTTAATAAACATGTGTAGTTTAATGAGATGGAAATGGCAAGCACACGCACGTGAAAAAACATATGACATTTTTTTTCTCTTCTGCTCTTGGTCTCGCTTTTCGCTGCGTCCAACAAAGAGCTGTGAGGATGAAACAATGTACAAATTCAATGGGTTGATTCTGCAAACGCCTCACAAAAGACTGATTGAAATGATCGAGCATACGTGTGTGTCTGAGTTTGACCTGATGGTGTTCGCGCCAGAAGAAGTAAAAATAATAACGTCGATATTTCGACAGGAGGCAACAACCAAAAACGGTAATCTGTTGCACATTGGAAATGTCTTTTTCCATTCCGTTTGAGCTACGGCCGAACGAATCAACTTCCACTTGAATCGAATACAAAATATTTTGACTACAATACAGAAAGTGAAGCCTCGCACCGTAATCCTTGTGAGAGACAAACACACATCGTATAATTAAGTTGAATTGTGCATTATGCCCGTGAATACATACGCTAGAACGATTACCGAAATACTACCAGAAAACATTCAACCACCACAATTTCTGTGCCGTCAATTTGTTCGTAAGTAAATAATGACTTGTTTGAATTTTAAATTAGTCCTTCGCGCATTTAATCATTTTCATTGATTTGCGCACACACACAAATCACTGGAACGACGTAGTAAAAGCGGCGTTAAACCGTTGCAAAATAATGACGGTGGAGCCAAACCAAAGGATTCTGTGTACCAAACGATCGCGCTTGCTGAAGAAGTTTCACTCGGACGCAGAACGATAGTAATATTGTAAATTGCCAGTTAAGCAATCGTCATTGGTTGACGTTTAGTTGCGATTTATGCGCTACACAATGCTTACAGTGCTCTTCTTTTCGCTGGTATTCGCGATCCCTTCATCTCTTGGCAGACGAAAAACACTCTCATTTAATGAAATAATGCCCTTTCAAATTGCTTCTTTCGAATATTCGCTCAAATTAAATTACGCATTTACGAACCGAATTCACCCATTTCAATTTTTTTGGTTTTTATTTTCCCCTCTTGTTCATCACCTCACACATTCACTTTTTTTCGCGTATCGTTTTTGGTGGCATTCGCGTATCAAACTCAAATTCTAGGTGCAATATGCACACACGGCCGAAATAAACATCGGGGAATGGAATAAACGCAGGAAATGTCAATTTTATGCATTTTCAAACTGTTTCTTCTTTTCATTTGTACAAGGTTTTTAATTCAATCCTCATTCGATTGTAATTTTCATTTAAAAAATACAACTCATTCTTGTATCCTTTGTGATATTATAATCTCAATGAATTTTTCGAAAGTCTCTATTAATTCATCACAAAAGGCATTTTAAAGCGTGCAAATTAAATCATTGTTAAAAGTTAATTACCAATTTAATGGTTGGCCTCATGTATATAATCGCTCAATAGATTATACGTAAATACTATCAGCCGGTCAAAAGTCGATCCAATTCCACGTCAGGCAAAAGGATCGACGTTGAATTAATCCGTTTCGCGACGAATTCGATTCCAATCAATCCGAAATACGAATCTAATTTCCGATTTAAACAAAGGGAGCGTGCAAGACAATTATTTAATTCCCATGATCGTTCATGAGATAAACAAAAGGATGTGAACGACTGATTCCAGACGAAATTAAGACACAATTTCTTCATTTTATGAGGAAATTTTTATTACATGGATGAATCCATCGATTGGACGAATCCTTACAGACAGTTTGTAACAGAGTAATCCTGGCCGATTGAATTGACTCGAATCAATCATGCATTCCATTTTGGAATGTAAACAGCGGCGTATCGAAAATCCTTGTGCGGTTGATCGAACATCGAGACAAATTGCGTAATTTTTCAAAACTAATACAAAATATTGAATTACGTCAACGGAGAGGCTCTACGCTTAACCTAACCTGTTTCTTCAAGTGAGTCATTGGGACGGAATTGTCGAAACGGTAAATGAAATTCGATTAGCCACCCATAGACATTGTCTTGGCCTACTGTTTATATCCTCGTATAAGGTTTGCAGTCGTCGACTTGCTTCATGTCGATAGAAATCAATCAAAGAAGACCTTGTTGGCATATAAACTACTTGTTGGCACACAAACGACGGAGGAATGCCAACTCATAAAATCCACAATGGAAAAGATATTTAAAAAAAAGTATTATTTCAGTGTGCATCGAGTTTCGCGCTTGAAAACGTATCAAATGGTTAAAAGTTTTAAGTTGAAACTGTTAGTTTTTCATCCACTTGAAAACTGTGCACAATGATGCATACAAATATCAATTACGTTGTCAAAATCGGTAGGAAAACTGAAATTCCCTGTTTATTTCTACTTCTTCTTCCAAATGACAAGTGTCCTACAATCACAAACTTTTGCATAACAACAATAAAAAGTGATTTTTCCGTGTTATTCGTCGCAACCGCAACACATCAAAGGGGCCTACAATCAAATAATTTGTTTCGAATGTATTTCTTCTCGTTTTTTTGATAAGATAAATTATTATTGTCGAAAATCTCACGCACCCAAAAAAAGAGAAGCAATTTTTTTTGTAGAAAATAACGACTCTGAACGAATCGACGGAGAAATATTCCAATTTTTTTATAGACACAATAAGAATATGATGATCACAAGGGTCTCTTTTTATCCATCGATTTTCTATGAGTTGCCTACGAGTGTAAAACTGCGCACGAAATTGAATTGGCACAGACACATATACGATACGTCGGAGTCGATTTTGTGAGTAGTCCAGTCAAACAAAACAATCGACAAAACGAAAAGAAAAAAAAAACAAAATCGTAATCGCACGAGAAGCAGCAGGTAGATTATTGTTGTGGATTGAATTGAGAGATGATACCGGCTAAAGGCGTTTAGATGCAGCACACACATATGATCTCGTTGATCGCAAGACGAAACAATGATGAGAGAAACGAAGCTCTTATGAGAAAATACTTCGTTCGATTCCTTTTCGATTCTCTCTCACTCATTTCGGTGTGCTCTTTCAGGAGGCGGAGCTTCCGCAAGAGAGATCGGAGAGTAACGCAGAGAGAATAAACAAATTCGTGTGCCGGTAAGTCGAATATAGCACAACGTTACCTGGCGAGAGAGAAGAGATGAAGAACCGAAAAAGAAACAGATTTTTTCTGTTATTTTGTTGTTGTTCGTGTTTTTGTTCTGTTCTTCTCGGCACACGGTTCAATGAGAAATGATAGTACGCAGCATGCAAGGTGAACTTTCTTTCTGACGATCAGATTTAAGCAAGATCAGTTCATCGGTCGACTTCGAAGCGAGCACAAGTGTTTTTGGCCACCGCTCAAGCAAAAGCAATCAAAGTTTTTTTTTTACAAAACGAAATCAGTGATTGAATTTTTTTTTGTTTCGTTCGAAATATTTGACGATCAAGTTAAAGAAAATTAAATCAAAGTTGAAATTTTATTTTGGAAAAAGTTGAATAGAAAAAATTTATCGATATAAAAATGGCATCATACGTGAATTATCATCCAACAAATTATTTGGACAATGAATATTACGCATACAATGGATACAACACCAACATGTACAACGGCATTGTCAACAAATCCATGGAACAAACGTACAAGTTAATGGATCAAACGTACATCAATAATCCAAACATGGAACAGTCTTATCTCGACGATCAATTGTCCGATGGATTAAAGAGCCCAAAATCTGATTCATCCATTTACACCAGCTACAGTCCAAAATCATCGAATTATTACAATGATTGTTACAAAACCGAAATGATCCCATCACCAGTATCGCTGACATCAAGTGGTTCTATGGAACAAATAAAATACTCACCAGTTCCGGATTTCTATACCACGACATACGAGATGCAAAACCAAATCGACACAAAACCAGCAATCACAGTTCCAATCAAAGCAACACCCTCAACATCATACACAGCCACCGCCACCACCACCACCACTACAAAAGGAGTGAAAAAAGCGAAAAACACCACACCTAAAGTGGCACAAGATGTTATGAAGAAACGACGATTAGCCGCCAATGCCCGCGAACGTCGAAGAATGAACAGTCTCAATGACGCCTATGAGAAACTACGCGAAGTTTTGCCAAATTTTGGACCAGACAAGAAACTATCCAAGTACGAAACGCTCCAAATGGCTCAGACCTACATGAACGCGCTTAAGGATTTACTGCAATCATGATTCCGTTGCACAGTGCAGACATAGCGTATAATCATCCAAATTTAGCCAATTAGATGTGTCATAATTCACAAAGAAAACAATTTAACAAACAAAAATTCGTCCCATTTAATGTTTTAGTGTTTGTTTATTTCTTTTAGTCGATTAAATTCTAAGTAAGAGAAACGTATTGAGTAAAAAAAGAACAAAGTATAATTATTTGGTTAACGACGTTAAGTTTTACGTTTCGAAACGTAAGAAAATTGTACAAATTTTTATTTATTTGAGAAATTGATTAAAAATTCCAAAATTGAGAGAGAGAAAAAAACGCCAAGGTTTTGATTTCATTGTCGAAATTGAATAACAGCAGAATGTCTTTTTTGTTACAGCAAAATCATTTTTTTTCTTCAAGGATTCTCTATCCTCAAACTCTTCTTCATTTTCTTTTCTTTCTTGATGATTTGAGTAGAAATTTCTACAATTTTGTTGCAAAATCAAATTCAATTTGCAGCGGAAATTTTTAATAATCAAATTCTCATCCGAGCATCGTCTCAATTAGTCGAAAGGTAAGTGCTTAGTGGGCAGTCTTTGACTACCAATCAGCCAGTACAGGTTATACTATAACCGTTATAAGAACAAAAGTCATAAATGAACCTAATCAAATTCAATTTATGAACTATTGAATAGATCGATAATTTCGTCTAATCCTTGAATGCCGAGTTGAATATCGAAAAATTCTCATTTTCTTCAGGTCCTTTAAAAATCAACTTCGTTTTCTTGTCGATGAATTACTTCATTTGGAATCGGTGAAAAGAAATGATGTTACCGTTTTGATCTAGTGCTCAAGGAAAATTTATCGTTCTATTAAAAGACATTAATTTTCTATTTCACACGCACCGTTGCTCGAGAATTAAGCAATAAAATTATCTGAAACAAACAGCGATCCATAGAGAGCGCGAAGGATCGGAATGCGTGCGAGGTATAACACCAACACCAGAAAAAGCATCTATTCGCTTTGCAATGAATTATTATCTTCCGTATTGATAATGCCCTTTGCACACGACCTGAATTCAATTCTTTTGCATTGTTTAAGCTTCGAGCTGTGTTTTTTCACGCTTAATCACGAAAGGTAAAGGTAAAACGAGGGGAAAATATCGGTAGTAAAGATAAGTCGACTATAAAACCAAACTGTTGTGCAGTTGAAATATGGGTCAGTCATAGATGGTGGTGGTCCAGCGTGTGTTTTGATTCACGCATCGAACAGCGGCCAACACGTGTTACACCAAATCATAGATGATCCTAGTTTTGATACCGCCGCTGATTCAATGCGGCCTGTGTTCTCTATTCGGCCCGTTTTTTATTTGCGCAATTTTACGATCTTCGCCTCCTTTGCACCACATTAAAATTTATTGCTTACTTTTCGAGAGATTCCGAAATGAAATCATTTATCACCGTTCACTGTTCGCTGAAGTGCCACACGTTGATCAAAAATTGAATTCTTTTGTGTAAAATGCGTCGGTGCCTTTGTTTCGATGTCGCAATTAAATTGATTTCTTCAGCCGGGCCTTGTGACTCGCCATGCGATCGGCTTGATCAAACCGAATGGCGTTCGTTCTTTTTTTTTTTTGAATTCGATCACACCAAACAGTCAAATTGTGTGCTAACGGTGTCGAAACAATTTCTCCTTTATGTCTAGGATAACGCCAATACAAAAGAGAATCACACGAAATGAGAGGAAAAAAAAGGGTTTGTCGTCACAAAAGGATATCTTTTGAATTGTAACGGGTCTTTTGAAATAGAACAACGAATTAAATATTATCGAATTTTATTCGATTTGTCTATTTCGACTGCTATTGTTTGATTGTCGCTGAACCCTCCAACTGTTTCTCAATCAAAATATTATCCATCGATAGTTTATGATTTATTCCACTCTTTCGTTAAATCGTATCATTAAGTGCTATTATCGATAGATTTTTCAAGCAACGCATTCAAACATTTTTCACATCCATTCGATATGGCCTCAAAGTGTATGAGTTGAAATTGTGTGGTCCGGCACGGAATCGAACTAATTATATGTTTGTTTGTTAGAAATGGTTTAATTTTTTGTGAATTAATTAATAAAACCGCTTTTCTCTGGTAAGAGAATGGCATCTTCGATTTAGAAAACTTGAATTATTAATGAATGGACAATATTTTCACCAAAAATGTAACAGACGCAAGGCTTCAGACGACTCTTGGTCCGAATGCAATGTGCCGGGCAGTTTATGTCGATTTTCAACAGTTCCCCAAACGTTTTTCACTTTCGCTGGCATTTGTTCAGCTAGAAACATTCTTTTTTTTTAGCAAACCACCGTTCGATATTTTCTTCACGTTCATTAGCTCTTTTTTGGTGTGAAGAACAATGATTGATGGTTTTGAGTCGAGTTTGAAGACCGTGCTTAAGTTTTGATTCGAAGAAAAACTAACAATGTTACAATTAAATCAAATATTGACACAACCTTCGTCTGATTCAGCATTCTCTTTCCGTTTTTCTGTTAAGAGAAAGAAAATTTCTATTCGTTTTACAAACAATGAACGAAACAAAATTGAATAGATTTTACCTTCGATGTTCCGTTATTGTTACTTCACTTGCTCCTTTTCACATTGAACTTCGTCCCGTTACACGTTAGCTCACAGCCAAACGGAAACCAAATAGTGATAGTTTGAAAATCATAACTGTACCTTCCTTTTTAACATGAATATTGAACAATTGAAAAGACCAAATTAGTCGATTGGTTTTCATTCATTTGATGGAAAAGGTACCGTAACATGGCTCTCCTTGTTATGATACAGAACTCTCTTAAACAAGCCACGTTTTTATTTCGGTTAATGCTTCGTCGTTTCCTGTAATGAACGACGAGACCATCAACTGTTTTTTTTTTCTTCTCTCTCATTCAGATCAATATCCTTTTTATAATTGGCAACTCTCGCCTTTGTTTGGTTCACATGGCGCAACGAGTGTGAACGCGAACGAAATGTAGGTGATGAAGTTTTATTCAAATAAAGATCCGAATCAGCGGATATTGGATATTTTAAGAAAATCAGCGTTAACAATAACTTTTGAAGAAAAAAAAAATTATTGACGAACAAAAAACATGATGAACGCGATGAAAACAGGATGCACTAGGCCACGACAATGTGTTAAGAGGTCAAAGTGTCTGGTCTTACTACCGCAGATTTTATGTGCGCGATTTTGTACAGGCATAATGCAAAGACCTATTATTAAAAGTACATTGATATCATTAACGCTTCCGACAAATTTCTCACAAGATTTTGAAGAAGAACAAGAAGAGCGACAAATAAAATGAGTGCAACAAAAGCGACCCGGCAAAATCCGTTAAATGCCAATGTCGAAGACGTTCGTTTGATTTTATCAAAGCCGACATCGGACAGGGGAAAAAAACCGAAAGTTTTTTTTCCAGTCGGTAATTGAATTGCCATCGGAATTGTATTTGCTGTACAGCAATAATCATAATTACATCATCGTTTAACTAATTTTTGAAATGTTAAGAGCGTGAAGCAGCAACCAAGTTCAATTGAACCAATGCTCGTTTTAATTAGAGCCGATCAGAAGAAGCCAACGTTCGGCTGGATTTGCGACTGGATGCACTTGCTTCACCGCCGTTGTCGTCTCTACTTTGTTGTGCATGTTCCTCTCATTTGAACGGACCGGGTCGATTGCAATTTCTTCGCGATCTTCATCAACATGGTGATAAAGTGAAGCAAAACAATCGAACTGTCGTTCGAAATCTCGCGAAATAAGTGATGTTAACACGGCTCAATTCGAATTAAAACCGCTGGATTGCCGCTTGTTTTTTTTCGCTGTTGTCGGTATGTGTTCACTTGCTACTACATCGCATCTTATCATAGTAGACTCGTCATATTCCATTGTGTGTCGATTTATGCACTCGCGTGGTTGTGTGTATTGGATTACGATTTTGATGGGTTGTGTGCGATGTGTCGATTATTACTACACTGGCAAGCAAATGCAATCGTAATGCAAACCTCAGGCAAATTGAATTCTAACTAAATGTTTTGCAGCGCACTTGAAAATTCCACTAGAGCCCATCCAACAGCAGCAACAAGCGAGACACATCAAACGCACCGATATCGGTAAAAGTATTTAAAAAGTAAACAATTTTTAAATTACGCGCAATTCGATTGCGGCACTATGTCCATGCTACCTTTTGTTCTTAATTCATTTTTCTCAGTTATTTCTCTCTCTCTCTCTCTCTCTCTCT